TCCTGGCACCCTCTCCCTCCTTCCCCAGGAATCCAACCACGTCAGCCTATACACGCAGGTTGACATCACATATGTTCCTGCTCCGGTATTTTTAACCATAAAAGGGTATTCCTTCCTGTACTTCTGACCATAAAAGGGTATTTCTGTTCTTCTACTCTTGGAGCAAGAGGTCACCAACTCCAAGAACACACTCTGGCGCTGTTCCCGGACTAGGTCTGTGCATCTTTGTGCTCTTTGTGGTCAGGATGTAAGATAAGGCCCAGAGTGTCATCCCTGTTCCACTCTGGAATGGACAAAGCCATCCGTCATTACCAGCCTTCATAGACTGATAAGAGAGAGAACTTTGAGCACTTGTTTATACAGCTGGGTTTTGGCTCAAGAGCTCAAGTTAAAGCATTTTAGCTCAGGTAAAATAGGGATTTTGGTGCAGTTTCAAACTGCCTGCACTGTCAGTTTTGGGTTTGGGAAACCCATTCCTTCAATGGTACCTCTAGTTACAAACTTAATTATTTCTGGCGATCCATTCTTAACCTGAAACTGTTCTTAACTAGAGGTGTGCTTTCGCTAATGGGGCCTCTTGCTGCCGCTGCGCTGCCGGCACACGATTTCCATTCTCATCCCGGGGCAAAGTTCTCAACTCGTGGTAACTCTTCCAGGTTAGCGAAGTTTGTAACCAGAAATGTTTCTAACCTGAGGCGTTTGTAACTGGAGGTACCACTGTAGTAAAATTATTATTCATAATAAAACAGGATGTCCCTATTTTCATGGAAGGAATTTGGGAGGATTTCTTGAGAACAGCAAGGGACCCTATATGGAGAAAGCAATGGGGAGACTCCATCTGTTTCTCTTCTTCCAAGAATCACAACTATAATTCAGTGTCCCCAACTCTTCCCCCTTGTGTCCTGCCCTGAAGGCCACAGCCTGCTGGCCTCTCTTGCCCATCTGTGCTGTGGCTGGCCTGTTTCTCCTTTGATCTCCTAGTGTAGAGTTTGGAGGTGACTTCTAATCCTAAAGTCCAAGAGAGAGAATTGTGAGGAGGAGCAGGAAGATGTAAAACAGGGTGAAAGCTAAGATGTATCAGCCTAAACAACAAAGAGATTCAGAGGTCCGCTGAGAGTGGAGGAAGCACACCACTCTAAGGGTGAATCTACACACAGGGGGAAAAATGTCGGGAAATCTACTGTTGAGAAGTGGAACTGTTATTTTTTCAACTCTGAAGCACATTTTTTCAACCTCTGAAGAACATCTTTCATATGATGTATATGCTGTTCTAGATTCTCTGAATAAATCAAAATTATATCAAAACAGTCCACCAGGACTCTGAGTATGTAGCTGATGAAATCTTAGAACGTTGCTGCTCCTGACTGAAATGTTATCTCCCGCTCTCTCCCTGCCTTCTCTTGGCAACCTTTGGGGCTCCATTTGGCTTAAAAGCTGGCATTCAGCTTTGCCACGTCAACTCATCCTGAGCCCTGAAGATCCTTCACCTATGCTTGGCAGTTCTCTCTTTGCTGCTCCTGGCTTCCCCAGGATTTTTAGGAAGTCGTTAGTCTGCACCAGGCGTCCTATTGGGAAGACCCAGTTTTCTGAGTTCATGTTCTGGGAGTTGTTCAATAGGGGCAGTACAGGATTCCTTTTGGTGTATTGACCTCCCCGCTGCACCAAGGATTCCCTGCCTGAGCTGCTTCCTGGAGACACCTAGTTTGGTTGTCCTAGGGGATTTTAACATCCAGATCTGCCGCAGTCATGTTTCAGAATGAAATAGCTTGGATCAAATTGAAATTTTATGAAGAGGATACAATGCCCAGGGGATTTATCCCTCAGGTAAATAACTCACGCTTCACCTGTCCCCACCAGATTGCTGGATCCTTGCAGTTACCTGAAGGAAGAGCATTTTCACAGGCTCATATCCTAAAACTATTATTAGTTGTAGTCACAATAGCATCAAACAGTTCTTTGAAAAAAATATCCAAGTCGACCAATTGAAGAGGTTGAGTGGGCACATGCAGGGCAAGGAGATTTCAAAGGTGAATTGATGGACTCTTCATCTTACTTGAAGGAAGGGCAATCTTCACCTGTCTCCTCCTCCTCCTCCTCCTCCTCCTCCTCCTCCTAACTCACCACCACCATATCTCCCAGACAACTTTTTCAAACAGGACTCAAGACAACTTTAAAAATAATTCAAAACTGGAGGGGATCTTCTTCTCTGCTTGCTCCACCTGCCATTTCCCACTCTGCACCCCATAATAATTGGCCATCCTGTCCTTCCTTTTCTCCTTTCCACCCTAGAAGATGACAAATCCCCCTTTCTCCTTCCCAACCCTGTTTCTGAAGCCGCTTCACTCTTCTGTTTAAAACCCCCTGGAGTCGCTGTCAGTATGGCTGTAGATCGGGGGTGATGGCATCTCCAGATCAGAAACATCCAAAGGGCAACAGGTTCAGGTCCAGTCCTGGTACTTTCATGCCCAAGGTGCTTGGAACTGAAAGTGGGACACTTTGCATGGAATATATGGGAGCTATCTTAGATCCTGAGCTATCTAAACAAGGTGGAGGGGGGACGTTTTATGCCTCTTCACAACCATGCCTGCTGACACCTCCTTCTCATACAAGAAGTGAGGCATGCATGGCTTATGAGTTATAGAGAAACTAAAGCCTGTAATTGTACTCATCAGAGACTCAAGGACTACCCAGAAAAAAGGCTCTTCTAAATGCATCAAAAAACCTTTCCCACTAATTAGACGCTACATGCGCCAAATTTCTTGAGAGACTTGTGGAAGAGACAAATCTAAATATTATTTTTAAAAACGTATTCCACAGAGAGGTTAGGCTGGCCCGATTTTGGGTTCCGCCAGATTTTGTGCTGCGTTAAATTTGACAGAAGGAGCCTGTTGCTTTAACATCTCTAACCATGGTGTAGCTATTTGACACCTGGCAACAGAAAGAGAGAAAGTAACCCATGTTCCTGTCTCTACCTGGAACGGATGGGACATGTCTTGGTTGACTGAGTGGCTTAGAGGACTTGTAATGATGTTAATGGACTAATCTTGCTTCTTTTCTGCTCCTGTATACCCTGCTTAAATGCAATGCTTGCAAAATATGATGAGTAAAATGATGTCACGAATGATTCGGCCCCAGATTATAACACTGACATGAGAATACCAGCCAGTGCCTTGGGACGAGCCATAAGGCTGTCCAAAAGAAGAGGAGGGAATGAAGGAATGGGTTTCTGTGTAGTAAGTTTAAAACTGACTCAACCCCCCCCCTTTTTGTTTTTTCAAAAGAGAGCACTTTTAAAACTTGAGCTGTTGAGCAAAAACATAAACGAGCTCTCTCCTTTATCAGTCACGGCAAGGGATGGACTTGGCTCTCTAAGGGAACAAAGAAAACACGTCAGAACTTTATCTTGTGTGCTGACCACAAAATACGCGCAAGACCAACGTCCGGGGAAAACACCAAAAGCGTGTTCCTGGAGATTATGACATCTTCCCAGACAAGAGTAGGAAGAGGAAAATGCTTTTATGGTTGAGAGTACCAGAGCAGGAACATATGTGATGTCAACCTGCGTATACAAGTTGACGTGGCTGGGGAAGGGGGAGAGGATGCCTGGAGGATATATATACACTGCATGAAACTTTTCATTTCTTTGGACTTGCTGTGGACTTGATCACGCAAGTGCCTTCTGCTATCCAGAGACCAAAATAAACTCTTTCTTTGAACCAACTCGGTGTCATTTGACTTCCTTTCTCCTTTCCCGGAGCAACGCAGACCCAGTCGGTGAACTCCAATAAGGCTACACTGGCTGTATGCCAAGTTGGAAAAATGACAGTTTCACGTCTCAACAGTAGATTTCCCGACATTTCTCCCCGTTTGTTGATTCACCCTTAGAGTGGTGTGGTTCCTCCCCTCTCAGCGGACCTCTGAATCTCTTTGTTGTTTAGGCTGATAGACCTTAGCTTTCATCCTGTTTTACATCTTCCTCCTCCTCACACTTCTCTCTCTTGGAGTTTTGCTCCATTTTGAGTGTTACGCTTGCATTACGAGTGTTATGCTGAGGACTGTCTTTTTTCCCTATTTATTTTGCCTTTTTGTTTTTGAGGCACTTTTTTGGAATTGTTTTTCTGACTGTTTGGAACACAGTTCAGCTACTGATTGATGGATTGTGGGTTGGCAGTACATTGTTGATTGTTTTCACTTTATGAAACAATGCTCTCATTAGATAGTAAAATTCATGTTAAATTGATGTTTTAGGGGTCGTTTTTAAAATTCTGGAATGGATTGATCCATTTTGCATTCATTTCTATGGGAAAGGGCACCTTAGTTTTGGAACGCACTTCCGGAACGGATTAAGTTATATGTATAGCCATTCAGCTAAATACCCATCATTTAAATCTTAAAAGAGTGAGCTCTGTTGCCATAGAGAGGAATGGATGTGCATTCTCTTATCTCACCCGACTGGATGCCATGGGATCCTAGGATGAAGAATTCTTCCTGGTAGGCACATGTGCATGCAATTATGCCTAATATACTGTAATGAGTGGGCTTTGTGGAGTTAGTTTCTGTAAAAGCCTGGGCTACTTCCCATCCTGTAATTCTGTGGCTGGAGGGGCCTAGAATCTATAAGAGGAAATGTCCAGATCTGGTCTGGTCAGTTTATTAACTCCAAAATTCAAAGACCTGTGAATTTGGAAGGATGACTATATTTCAATGGGCATACTTTTTCAAAGAGTGCAACTCAGTTTGGTTACCATTTAAAGGGAAACTGAACAGAATTTCTTCTCCCTCTCATTCCACCCTCCATATTTTGCCACTCTTCATTTTCCACATTGTGGTCCAGTCCTACTCGCTAGACTGTTTTGGGAGATCCTCGCATCCTTTTAGTTTTCCTTTGTAATGATGTCTTAGGCCTCTGCACAACCATGCCTGCTGACACCTCCGTCTCATGGATGTAAGGTGCCATTTTGGCTTCACTAGCAAGAACACTCATGCTTAGAAATGAAAAACAGAGGGGGAAAGGCTTTTGGATCTGCTTTTATTGCAAGGCACAAGCTCAGGTAAGCCTTGAAAATGTTGCTTTTTCAATCTGGATGCTTTGGAGAAGAAGTCCCTAGCTAGGGATCAAGCGGGATCCAGTGGCTCTCAAAGAGAGGGAGCATCTTCCACTTTTCAAAGGCATCTATCACTCCTCCCGTCTAAAATGTAGAAACCAGCAACAAAAAGACAACAGTTAACTCAGTTTCATAGGAAAGTGATCATGCTTGAGACACGAAAACCCAAAGCAAGGCATGTTGGACCACAAGAAAGATTTCATGATAATAAGCCATTGGGTAGGGATAGGTCTGTTTCAGTTTTTCATTTCCAGTAACTATGAATTACATAGATTCACCTTTCAATGAGAATTGAATCCAATCTCTTGCCCATCCTTATCCCTGGGGGACTTTCTTTTCTAGGTACAATTAAATATGTCACAGAATAGTGAGGGGGCTTTCAAGGTCTCCAATATTCTCCTGCAGACTGGATGTTATGCACGGCAGGGATTTGTTGTCTTTGTGGCCCTGAAGAAGAGTTCAGGGTTAACAGGAAGCTTGCTCACCAGTTTGTGACAATGTTTTGAGAAACAGGAGAGATACTGGCACCCGGGGATTCCTTCAGTCCAGTTGCTAATTTCTCTGCCAGGACCCAAGATAAAAGTCTACTGCCTCAGGTTCTTTCTTTAAAAGACAAAATAATAATGAATCTGCTTGGAGTTGAAAGTGGGAGATTTGCCTGGAATGTATGGGATGTGAAACTGAGGTAATCTTAGACGGTGGAGAGCAGGACACCACACAGAGTAAGAGCCCAGCATCTGTTGAAACTGCAGAATAGACATCCCTTAGGCACTGAGATAAACAATGGATGAAGCTGCACAACAAATTAAATGTGCCCCTCTGGTGTGGTTTAGGGATTCGGCAAAGGAGATCTGGCATAAGGTCACAGGGCAAAGGGGCCAAAGACAGCTAGACCAGCCATGAGGCAGGTGAGGACCCTGCTTCTGGTGGCAGAAGCCCCTCAGACAACAAACCCATTGGTGCCCCTCCTGCCCCGCTGGTTCTGCCTGTGGCGAAAGAACTCAGCACCATCTTGCTTAAAATTGGCAGCAATGGTAGTGCCGCTTCTGTGCCTGCAATCAACAGGGTATGGCGTGTGTCAGTGGCAGATCAGTCCATGGCAGGAGGAGCAGGTAGATGGGCTTAGGAGCCGTGCTGGCAGAATGGCAAAGCAGAAATTACCATTTTGCATCAAGCGGCAAAATGGGATGTGCCACCCTTGGCTGATTCTGGCATAGGTATTTTTATTTTTGCAATGGAGCAATTGTGCTTGCAGGCAAAGGATGATCAGTTAGGGGACTCTGCATTGGGTACTTAAAATGATCAATCCAGGGGGTAATGGGAGAGGGGTAGGAGGTGTAATTCTCTTTTGGTAAGCTGAAATTACCATTTGCAACAGAAATGACGATGAGTACACCTTCCAATCTTTTTAGAATTATTGGGACAATATAGAGGGAGGCAAACACCATTGGCCTTATAGCATTGCCTAGCATTCTGAGGTTCCTGGTCCTGTGCAGATCCTGTGCAAAGAGAGAAACAAACATAAGTGAGGAGAAGGAAGTTAAATCACAATAGAATGAAAGAGAGGAACAACTCCACAGCCCTTTGAACAGGAGTGGGTATGTGACGCTCTGGGTGCTGTGGCATCCCAACTCCTACCCCCCACCCCACCCCTTGCCACTGGCCCCTGGTGTTTACCACCCTTGCTATATTCACAAGAAGAAATGGTAGGTGTGCTTCTCCAGATATTTGCTCATGAGTGGAGGGTGTCAGTCCACGAAACACGACAGCAAGAAGTGAGGCACACATGGCTTATACGTTATAGAGAAACTAAAGCCTGGAACTGAAGCCATCAGAGCCCCTAGGACTACCCAGAATAAAAGGCTGTATACTACATCAAGAAACATTTCCCACTAATTAGAAACTTTATACCCCAAATTTATTGGCAGACCTGTGGAAGAGACAAATCAAAATTTTATTTTCTAAAACGTATTCCATAAATTTGCATAGAATTGCATAAAATCTTACCAAACTGAGAAAAGAAGAGGCTCCTTTTGTTTTTCCTTACCAGTTTTACATGCGATGCCATTTTCCATATATTAATAAAAAGGTAAAGGACTGTTTTGACAGTTAATTCCAGTTGCAGACAACTCTGGGAGCCGGTGCTTGACCACAGACAGCTTCCGGGTCACGTGGCCAGCATGACTAAGCTGCTTCTGGTGAACCAGAGCAGCACACGGAAACGCCGTTTCCCTTCCTGCCGGAGCTGTACCTATTTATCTACTTGCACTTTCGAATTGCTAGGTTGGCAGGAGCAGGGACCGAGCAACGGGAGCTCACCCCGTCGTGGGGATTCAAACCACCAACCTTTTGATCAGCCAGCCCAAAAGGCTCAGTAGTTTGAACCACAGGGCCACCCGTGTCCCCTTTTCCTTATATTACTCTGGCATAATGAAGTCAACATGTGAACATCAAAGCACAGCCGTCCTCTGAAAGTCAGCTCTCCCTCCAAGTAATGTATTTTAAAAATGTACATGAAAAAGTGTAATTTCATGACAATAGCATGAAAATATAGGTTATAACAGGGCAAATTGCATAGCAATTATGGGCATAATGGGGGAAATTCACCAACACAGTGCATATATCCCCTAAAAGACACACTTTGGTAAACAGTTTTGTCTGATAAATACATTTTTATGCTAATTTTACCACTAAAGAAATGTCTCTAGCAGGAAATGTGAGCTTCCTTTGCAAGGCTACAGAACAGCAACTGTACTCCTCTCCCTCTTCCACCCCATAATAGGCTGGCAGGTGTCCCTCTGCCTTCTTCCTCTCCATCCCTTACCTGGGGAAGCCAGGAGCAGCAAAGAGAGAACTGCCAAGCACAGGTGAAGGATCTTCATGGCTCAGGATGAATTGTGGTGACAAAGCCAGGCAAAGCCAGCTTTTAAGCCAAATGGAGCCCCAAAGCTTGCCAAGAGAGGGCTGGGAGGTAGAAGCAGATTGCATAAATGAAATTTTTGGGGGACGTTGTGACTTAGGCTGACGTGGACAAGAATGTTGCCAAAATCACGTGCCTCTGCAAAGGCATTCCTGCATTCTGTCAGTAATAGCAGTTTCCACACAAGATCACAAACATTCAGGATGTTCTGTATTCATGTTTCAGAGGGAGATAGCTTAAATCAAATGAAACATTTATGAGGAGGATGCAATGCCCTACATAGGCAGTGCTAGGGGGATGTATCCCTCAGGTAAATAACTCACCCCTCACCTGTGCCCACCACATTGCTGGACCCTTGCGGTTACGTGAAGGAAGGGGACTTTTCACATGCTCTCCTCCCACAATGATTATTCTTAATCTGGCCAAACTTAGATTCAAAGAATGTTTAGGGGTATGCGTTACCCCTGCATCCCCCCATGAAATAGCACTGGGAGTAGTAATAGCGTCAAACAGTTCTTCCAAAAAGAAAAAGAAAGATTCAAGAACACTGATTGAAGAGGTTGAGTGGGACATGCAGGGCAAGGATATTTCAAAGGTAATAATAATAATAATAATAATAATAATAATAATAATAATAATAATAATATCTTTATTGTCATTGCCCCCTCTCGGGGACAACGAAATTACTTGGCTGCTCCCTCCACCCAGGTAGGGCACTCCACACAAAATCAAATCAACTATAAAAACACTAATTAAAACAATACAGTATAAAACAGCAAGGAAGATTAGATGACTTTCAAAGTCCAGGCTTCCCATTCAGGGCCAAGATCGCTCTGGGGAAGAAGCTGTTCTTAAGACGGCTTGTTCTTGTCTTCATCGTCCTGTATCTCCGTCCCGACGGCAGGAGCTCGAAGAGACAGTGACCAGGATGCGATGGATCTTTTACTATGTCCAGTGCCTTCCTATGGCACCTTGTGGCATAAATCTGCTCTAAGGTGGAGAGTGGGCAGCCAACAATGCTCTCTGCTGCACAACCCCAACCTGTCCCGGGTAGTACAGCTTCCGTACCACACACATAAGCCATAAGTGAGCACGCTCTCAATGGCACAGTGATAGAAGGCAAGCAGCAGTTTCTGCGGAAGATGGTTTTTCCTTAGAATTCTCAAAAAGTACAGTCTCTGCTGCGCCTTCTTCACAAGCCCCCTTGTGTTGACACTCCAGGTGAAATGATGGACTCTTTGCTTACTTGAAGGAAAGGCAATCTTCACATGCTCTCTTGTCCTTTTTCTCATTCTTGCAATCATCATCATCATCATCCTTTTTCGCAAACACCTGGACAGCTGGATCGAGGCGGGTCGGGGCTGCTGATTCTTCTAGATCTGTCAGCAGCTTTCGACATGGTCGATCACGAACTTCTGTACCACCGCCTCGCCGACGTGGGGATCCAGGGCACAGTCCTTCAATGGCTGCACTCGTTTCTCTCTGGTCGGGGACAGAGGGTGGCGCTTGGGGGGGAACTGTCATCCCGCCACTCCTTGGTGTGTGGAGTGCCTCAGGGTGCAATTCTCTCCCCGATGCTTTTTAACATCTTTATGCGCCCCCTCGCCCAGCTTGTCCGGAGTTTTGGGCTGGGCTGCCATCAGTATGCTGATGACACCCAACTCTATCTGTTGATGGATGGCCATCCTGACTCGGCCCCAGACACACTGATCAGATGCTTGGAAGCTGTGGCTGGATGGTTACGTGGGAGCCGGTTGAAGTTAAATCCTTCGAAGACAGAGGTCCTCTGGCTGGGACGGGACGATATGGGATTGAGGGGGCAACTCCCATCTCTTGCGGGGGTGCAATTAGTGCCAGCACCGTCCGTTAAGAGTTTGGGTGCAATCTTCGATACCTCCCTCTCCATGGAGGCGCAGATTGCAGCTATAACAAAGGCGGCATTTTTTCATCTCCGCCAAGCTAAGCAGTTGGCTCCTTACCTCTCTCGCCCTGACCTAGCCACTGTGATCCACGCGACGGTCACCTCCAGACTGGATTATTGTAACTCGCTCTACGTGGGGCTGCCCTTGAGACTGACCCAGAAACTCCAGCGGGTGCAGAATGCCGCAGCGAGACTCCTTACGGGGTCTTCGCTGCGGGATCACATCTATCCGGTGCTATACCAGCTGCACTGGCTCCCGGTGGAGTACAGGATCAGGTTTAAGGTGCTGGTTTTAACCTTCAAAGCCCTACACGGCCTAGGACCCTCGTATCTACGGGACCGCCTCTCCTGGTATGCCCCACAGAGGAACTTACGGTCCTCAAATAAAAACATCTTGAAGGTCCCAGGCCACAGAGAGGTTAGGCTGGCCTCAACTAGAGCCAGGGCTTTTTCGGCTGCGGCTCCAACCTGGTGGAACGCTCTGTCACAAGAGACAAGGGCCCTGCAGGACTTGACATCTTTCCGCAGGGCCTGCAAGACAGAGCTGTTCCACCAGGCCTTTGGTTAGGGCACAGCCTGACTCCCTCCTTTGGCAATCTTTACAATACTTTAGTTTATGGTTGCCATCAATTTTGATTTTAATTAATTCTTATGATGTTTTTATAATGTTGCACTATTTTAGTGTTGTTAGCCGCCCTGAGCCCGGCTTCGGCTGGGGAGGGCGGGATATAAATAAAATTTATTATTATTATTATTATTATTCTAACTAGACTCAATGGCACTTACAAAAATAATTTCAAACATGAGGGGCTCTGCTTCTCTGCTTGCTCCACCTGCCATGTCCACTCTGCACCCCATAATAATTGGCCAACCTGTCCTTTCCTTTCTCCTTTCCACCCTTGAAGATGACTAAGCCCCCTTTCCCCCTTCCCAACCCTGTTTCTGAAGCTGCTTCACTCTTCTGTCCTGCGCTCCACAGAGTCGCTGTTATTTGTGGCTAAAGATCAGGGGTGATGGGATCTCCAGAACAGAAACATCCAAAGGCCGATGAGTTGACCTTCTCTGCTTTGAGGTTTCATTTGAGCTTTCATGCTCAGGCCCGGTGCTTTCATGCACAAGGTGCTTGAAACTGAGTATGGAACCCTTTGCAAGGAATATATGGAACCTAATCCTCAGCTAACAGACACGGGTGCGCTGTGGTCTAAACCACTGAGCCTTGGGCTTGCCAATCAAAATGTTGGCAGTTCAAATCTCCGATATATGGTGAGCTCCCGTTGTTCGGTCCCAGCTCCTGGCAACCTAGCAGTTCGAAATTACAACAAAAAATGCAAGTAGATAAATAGGTACCGCTCCTGCGGGAAGGTAAAAGGTGTTTCCGTGCCCTGTTCTGATTTCGCCTGAAGCGGCTTAGTCATGCTGGCCACATGACGTTGAAAAACTGTCTGCGGACAAATGTAGGCTCCCTCAGCCAGTAAAGCAAGGTGAGCTCAGCAACTAAAGAGTCGTCCGCGACTGGACTTAACTGTCAAGGGTCCTTTACCTTTTAATCCTCAGCTATTCAAACAAGATGGAGGGGAGAAGATCACACTTAGCAAATGTCCAGCAGCTATTGAAGCTTTAGGATGGACAGTTATGGTAATCCCTTTCCACTGAGATAAACAATAGATGAAACGGCATATTAATCTAAACAGTCTAAACAATCAAATGATTGAAGAATTCGACCAAGAAGAATTGGCAAAACCTCACAGAGCAAAGCAACCAAAGACAGGGCTGATCCCAGAGCCGAACAAGCCTTGAGGCAGGTGAGGACGCTGCTCCAGGTGGCAGAAGCCCCCAACCAGGCAGAATGCCCATGGGTGCCCCTCCTGCCCTGCTGCTTCTGCCAGGGGAGGAGAAGCACCAGTATCATCAGCACTGATTTTGGAAAAGTTCACAACCATTTGGGGGAATAAGGAATGTGCCACCCTAAGCTGATTCTGCCATAGGTGTCTTTTGCAATGGACAAAGTATGGAAACAACTGACTGCGCAACCAATTAAGCTTGCAATCAAAGGACGATGTATTCAGGGACCACTTAAGTAATTGATGCTTTGTGTAACGAATGGAACAGGTAGCTAGTACTCACTGCTCTATCAAAATGACATTGTGTGTAATAAAAAGGTTGCATTAGAGATACTTTGTACTGCCAGTGGTTGTTTAATTAATGAAAAACCTAATTATGACAACTGCTTATTTCTGTTTCTGAAGGAATAGAATGGCTCTAAGACACAGAATGGAGGGAAGAGGGAGGAAGGAGAGATGACTTTGTATTGATGCAGTTTTTACATAATGGAGGAAATAATAAAGATTTAATAGAAAACACAAATGGATATAGCAGAAAAATGCTATATTAAAGGAGGTTAAACTGGAATCAGATAAATGATCATCAACTTGTAAAGAAACCTATGGTTCATGTTAGCAGGCATCATAAAGGTTTTACGTAATGAAACTATTTTCTCAGTTCACTGGCTCCCTATGCCTAAATCCGAGAAGGGATGTCCATTTAGGGTGGTAGCCTAAAGCTACTCAGATCAGAGGCTCCTGAAAATGATTGATCCAAAAAATGCTACAAGAGGGGCATGGTGCGGGGAGAAGAAATAATACTTTCCTCTGGACACTTGTTTGATTCTCCTTTGCTAAGCTGAAGTTCCCTTCTGCAACAATTATACAGTGGTGGACAGCTCCCAATGTCAGTGAAGACAGCAGGACAAACGAATGGGAGGCAGATACAATCAGTTTGTGATAGGCCATATCCTGTGTAGAGGAAGAACAAATACCATGGTCCACAAGTAAAAGGAAAGTTCATTCATAAGAGGAAGAAACGGAGGCACAACTTCATAGCCGACCCCCCCTAAAATAAATCTTGGCTGCACCCATGCTTCCCATATTTTAAATTTGTTTGGAACATTTTGACTTAGGCTGACATGGAGGAGAATGTTGCCAAAATCACATGCTTGTGGGAAGATATTGCTGAAATCTGGTAGTCATAGCAGTTTCCACAGAAGTAAGATCCCAACTACAGATCGCAAACATTCAGATCTGCTGCATTCATGTTTCACAAGGAGATCGCTTGGATCAAACAAAAAGTTTATGAGGAGAATAGGCAGTGCCCAAAGAAACTAAAATGATGGGAAGCATGGGTGCAGCCAAGATTTATTTTAGGGGAGCCTATGAAGTTGTGCCTCCGTTTCATGCTCTTCTGAATGAACTTTCCTTTCACTTGTGGACCATGGTATTTGTTCCCCTCTACACAGGATTTGGCCTGTTACAAACCGATTATATCTGCCTCCTGTTGATGATGTCCTGCTGTCTTCACTGACATTGGGAGCTGTCCACCACTGTATAATTGTTGCAGAAGGGAACTTCTGCTTGGCGAATGAGAATCAAACAAGTGTCCAGAGGAAAGTATCATTTCTCCTCCCCGCACCATGCCCCTCTTGTAGCATTTTTTGGATCAATCATTTTCAGGAGCCT